ATGACTAAGACCATTGACAACAACTCCACTGCGACCTAAATATATATATATTTTTTTTAAAAAAAAGGTAGCATTAATTATTTGGTTTTATCTGAAATATCAAACGTTTTAATCAATAATAAGTATGAATATAATCTTAATAATTGAAATTATTTTTAAATTTAAAATAAAATGACCCCAACACAGTGTTTTTAGTGCGGCTTCCAGGAGAACTCTTTCAGACACCCGCCTCGCATCATGGTGGGTAATATGGTTACTAGAAAAAGACACTTCGAATAGGGGTGTAGGATAAATAATTTTGTCTTAATCTTGGCATAGATCGTCGTGAGTAAACCAGTCGACACCTTCTTTCCTCCATTTCAACCCCATTAAAAATGTGCTCTTGTTTGTTACCATAGTAGCAGACAACCCCAAACTTTCAGTCTGGAGGAGTTCTCCTCAAAGCCGCACTAAAAACATCTTTCTCATACCATACTTAATATCAAAATCCTACCTAATCTTATCCCTACCTAATTTCAAAATTTTCACAACACATTTACAAAAAGTATATATAAATGAAAGAAATTCGTTAGTTTTTGTATAAAATATATGAGTATAGCTTCAACAACAGAAATTATGCATAAATTAAAATATATACACAAAATAAAAATAAAAAATTATACCAACACGGTTTTCCCTTTTTTACCACTTAATTCCAAATTTGTAATTATAAGAAGACAAAATGGCACATAGCAATAATCAAATAAAAAATTTAGCAGCACATAACAAAATTTTGAATAATTAATTTCAATTAAAAAATATACATAACCTCAAAAAGTTCAAAACATTTTAATAGTGTTTGTTGATTTAAACCAGCTTCATTTAAATCACGATTTCAATCATGATTAAATCAAATGATTTTTTTAAAAAAAATCTTTGATTTAAATCAATTGATTTTTTTTATACATATATTGATTTTAAAAGTTAAAAAACAGTGTTTTAAATTATTGATACTTTAATTATCTTCTTTTCTTAGTTTTAAAATTTATTTTAAACAAATTGCTGCATTAATTAATTTTAGTTAACGAAATCGCTTTCTTTCTTGATACGTGCCACATTTGAAATTACATTTTTAAAAATATTTTGATTCATGAGATTGAAAGTACAGATAAAAGTAAACATTTAATGCTCTCTTAATATAGACTTGCATACTTGTTGAAAGTAATTAATAAACATGAACTTTTTTCAAAAAAAAGAAAAAAAGAAGATATAATGTTAATTAAAATTCTACCTTTTGATTGAAAAAGCATGGAATTAAAATCTACATTATATTTTATTGGTGGAAAATGTATATTTCTAAAGCTTGAGGTTATATTAAAAAAAAAAAAAAAACTACCCTAATAAGCCAAACATAGAAAAAAAAAAAAAAAAAGGCTGATGAATTCAGATATTTTTTTCCTGATATAGTGTCATTCTTCCTTTTCAAAGTCTGTTTGAAGCAGTAGGGTTATTAACTGATAACAGGTATTTTTTCTCATAATATGTTTACAATATCTTTGACATTATCAGATTTTCTATAAAGAAATTTTGTGAAAAAAAATTCCAATGAGCACATAGATTTTTTTAAAATATTTTTTTAGCTTAACTTATCTATTTTGATATAGGATTAAAACGAATATTTCAACATAAAAGTAAACAGATTAAGTATTTATTTATTTTTTGATGAATGACTATATTTATAAGCACAATCTGTTACATTTATTTTGTCATTTTAAAAATCAAGAAAGAAAAAAAAGAAATACAATTTTAAATTAAAACTAGAGTTTTCTAATTGAAATTTTGTTTTAATAGTTAAAGAACAGCAGTCTGTCCAAGTCAAATTTACTACCGTTTAGTGGTACCTTCACAAATTCAACTTCAGGAAAAACTTTCACAAAATACTTTTTAATTTTATTTTTGCGTCTTGTAAGAAACGATAAATCCATATTTTTGTGTTGATTTTTTAATTTAATTTTTAATTTTCACAAATTAAGTCTAAATTTTCACAAAATAGGTACCTCCCAGAAAAACCTAGACAGACCCCTGAAGTATTCTTTAAATTCTCCATTTCACCTAGTCTTTAAATTTCATTCAAAACTACGTATTAAAATGAAAAATTATTTTAGTAAGTTAGAGCTTCCAAAATATTGTTATAATATAGTTTTAATAATAATTTAATTTTGATTAAACATTTATAAAGTTTTTTTAATCATAAATTAAAGTTCTTACGATGTATTTGAATTAAAAAAAAAAAAAAAAAATCTGATTTAAATAAAAAAAAATCTGATTTATTTGTTTATTTTTTTTTAAGATTTTCATTCAACTCAGGCATGTATCTTACATAAAATTTTCAAAACAAACTTATGAACAGAAGAGAGGGAGGTAAGAAAATTAAACAAATGGATAAAATAAATTATAGAGTACAAATAGTAACATGGCTTAATTTTCTTGAATTTAAAATCGAGAAAAAAATTTTTTTTTTCAAAGCATGATGAACATTGATTTTACCTATAAAATAACAAGAAAGATCTTTTAAGAGTATTGGCATTAAGAAATCAAAATAAATAATTAAATTTAAAAATAAAGAACAAATAATTTTAAACATTTCCAAAGTCTCATTTAAGTTTTACATGTTACCACCATACAATTAATAAAATTATATAGGAATATTATACAAAACTTTATAATTCTTGCCACTTGGCTTGAACAGAGCCTTCAATAATTTGATTAAGTTATTAGAGGGTTGCACATTTCAAAAGACTGTTAACAATTAAATTTATAAGGTAAACTTTAATACATTTTCTTATAATTTTAGACTTATTTACCATACAAAAAACTAACAAAAACATACATAATGCAAAGCAGAATATACTAATTTTTGTAAGAATAATGTTTGAGCTGCTAGGAGAAATAACATTTGCAGCCTTTTTTTTGGGGGGGGGGGCAGCTGATAGACTAACATAAACATTTATTTTAGAAGTTAAAAATATACTTTATACCAGTGTTTTCACTACAGCACGAGAAAGCGAGATTCTCGCATATTTTTTTCTTTTCTCGCATTAAAAAATTATTACCGCGAGAAATTCGCGCATTCTATAAATCAATTTCAATATTCGAGAATTTCTCGCATTTTGGAAAAAGCTTCGAATTACGCCATTTAGAATAAAATCCGTTTCGCTTTTGTCCCTGAATCTTTCATTATTTTCAGCATCTGCCCCATTATCTAGCTTCCCTATTTACCAGTATTGTTCAGAACCTTTTCGAGCAACAGAACACAACCACAGAACCCCTTTCAGAACACATTTCTCTGCAACCACGTGTTTACCATAGGTAAGGTTTCTTTATGTAAGACGTCTAAATTTTTTATGCACTTATGTAAGATGGACAAATGCACTTATGTAAGATGGACAAATACCTTGTAAAGGCAAAATCTTCTATGATGAGGCACAAAAAATATTCAATGCTTTAAAAAATAGAAGACGTTAAAAATGTATTATAATTAAGGAAATTATTTCTCTCCATGAGTTTTTGTGTTTTTTAAGTCTTTTTTTTTATGTTAAGAAATCTCACCCTGCTTTTGAGAAAGGGTGAGAAATTCTCACCCATTTTTTTTCTACGGCGAAAACACTGTTTATACTTACTCTTTTTTTTTTAACATGGTGAGAAAAAAATCTAATTAAGTTCAACGAGACTCTCACCCTTTTGAGAAAGGGTGCGAAATTCTCACCCATTTTTTTTCTACGGCGAAAACACTGTTTATACTTACTCTTTTTTTTTTAACATGGTGAGAAAAAAATCTAATTAAGTTCAACGAAACTCGTACTACACTTTAAGAAAGTATTAAGGTCTTAAACCTAAAGAAAAAAAAAAAGGAATCTATAATGTTTCTAAACCTGAATTTTTAATTGATACTGGCAAGGTTTGATATGAATCATATTTTAAGAGATACAGATAAGAATGGGGCAACGATTTTTAGAGTAATTTTATGAGATGCAAGAGGAAAAAAATGTGTATATTCATGTGTAAAAAAAATTACAAATTAACTAATGATAGGCATACCAGTAAAATATTTTCTAATGTTTAGACTTGACCAGATATGGCTTTCTTCTTGCCATAATGAGTCATTTAAAGATGTTTCAACAGGAACTAGACTTGTGTAACCTTGGCTGCTCAGCACTTCAAACACTAAACAAAAATAGTATAATTAAATACTAACAGCAATAAGAACAATGTATCAAGCACAAACAGACAATAGATTTCTTTTATCTCTGTGTTAAAATTATATAAACATTATTTCATGATGTACTAACCCTTCAAGCTTTGAATCCTTCTATTAAATAGTATTTCTCATGAAAGGGATCCATAAGTAAAAAGATTACTTGGCTGATCATAAACATGCTATTAAACCGGAAATCATACCAAAAATGGAAATAATTTATTACATTCAGGCTACAATGGATCCAAAATAACTTAATAATATAAAAAAAAGAAATACTTTTACAGAAAATGAAATAAAATTCAATTTTATATCATTTCTAATAAATGAAAATGTAGTTATAAATATATACTATAAACAGAATGTAGTTATATATACTATAAACAGAATCAATTGACAAAATTTATGTTCTCAACAAGCCACAGTGAAAAAAAAGTATTTCTTCGATTTTAATTATAATTGATATATAACTGGATAAAGATTAACAATGGGTAAGAAGTGCTTTAGAGAAGACATACAAAATTAATCTATTTTATAAAGAGAAGTTTTAACTCAGTAGAAAGTAAGTAGTAACTAGGAATTTTAAGAAAATTTCAATTTAGTAATAAGCATAAAAATTAAGAATTAATAAGATAAGAAGGAAGAAAGAGGACACTATACTATGAAGGAAAAATCCTTCATGGAAAATTCTCCTCCTGCTGCACAAGTAATTTAAAACTTCCAGCATGAAGAAAAAATGGTTCAAGTAAACCTAGAGTAAGCAATGTAGTTTTAAATATATATTTTTTTCAAAATATCAAATTGCAAACAGATTACAGCCAGATTACTGAGCAATATGCAGGGGAGAAGTAATCCTGTCATAATTTAATTGCATTTTGATATTTTGAAAGCATTTTTTCAGCATTTAAAACTTCATGGTTCACTCTAGGTTAAAGTGAACTTACTTTCCTCTAAGCTTTAAATTTTAATATGCCAATTTAATGAAACAAAATTTGTAATGAAAAGTTTTTCTCACAGAATGGAGTCTCATTATTCAATATAAAGCACTTACACATGTCCATAGTTTTAAATTTTAATAGCCTATAAAGGGTACTTGCAAGTTTTGATTAAACACAGAAATAATGCTGTTTTAAAATGTCCGTGCTTAACTAGTTTTATTTGAGGTAAACAGAAAATGAAATTTTTACGAAAGCTTTTCGATTATTTTTATACAGTAGTATCAAGTTTTAAATTTTCTGGTCATCATAAATCTCTAAGAAGCTTATCCAAAAATAACAATGAATCTAAAGAATTGCCTTAATTCATTAAAATAAGTAAAATTACTAAATACAGATTATAGATGTACAAAAATAAAAATTAAATAAGTGAGTTTTATAATAAATTAAATAGTAAGTTTATCATGTAGAGCTTTTATAAATTCCGTAAGACAAAGAAAAATGATAAAGTAAATTTCAAATTGTATAAACTATGAAATCTTAATAATTACAAAAGAAATATTTTTGGATATCAAAAACCACATTTTTGTACTACAGTACACATTTTACACAGTACACACACTTCACACATTTTAACTTACCAGTATGACCAGGAGGAAGTATGAAATCTCCAACTAGGAAAATATTCTTCTTTCCTATAAGGCACCAATATTTTAGCATAATAAAATTATATACATTAGATATGCATGTTATATAATATACATTAGAGCTATAAAAAGTAAAGATTACACTTTAATTTCCAAAAAAGCTTTTTTCAGAATTCATAAATTTAACAGCAACTTATAATACTATATCATTCCTTTCAACAAGGATCAACAAATTTTCCGTCAATCATGAAATATAATATTAATTTAAAGTAATTAAGAAAAAATCAACAACGTTGAATGCTGTAGTGTAGATATTCAACTATGACGAAGTTGCTTCACTTGCAAGCACAAAAAATAAATAAATTGTTTACTTTTTAAATTAGTAATTTAATACGATGTAGAGTTCATATAATTAATAAGATTTCAACTGCTGGGAAAAATAAACAGCCAAATCTTTGCTAAATCAACCATGCAGTTAGCAAAAAAAAAGTATATATATTAATATCATTATCTGCTTATTTTTATAAAGTAAAGTATCCAAATAAAATTATTACAATAGATACGGCTTTAGTTAAAAATAGTTGCATGTAATTAAACAGATACAATAACACAGTCTTATACTTAATAAATTAATAAATACAATGGAACTCCGGTTTCACATTGTCCGTTTCAAAACAATATCCAGCTATTTATGTACATTTTCTGCTGATCCATGAAAATTCCCTAAACTGATGATGTTAAATTATCCCGGATTTTATGTTACACTTTTTATGCACTATATGTCTTTCCATAAAGTGTGCACAAAATTTTACCGAGCATTCCTCCTTTTGTCTTTTTTTTACAAATAGACTTGTTTGTTTATTTGCTGTTTTTGGCTTTACCAACATTGTTTCTATTCTATTTTTTTTTTTTTTGTTGCTCCTCTGTCTGTGAGAGGGGACCTTGAGTTAAAAAGAGAAGGGTGGAAGGATGGGTAAAGCGCAGGAAGGGTGGTAAAAAGAAGTACGGGAGCTTAAATTGTAACATTTGGTGTGGAATGTTTTCCAGCAAGCTGCAACCTTTGAATCTTAGAATTATCCAATCATTTAATGAACATTACACTAAACAACAAGTTAGGTAATCATTTCTTTTTCTTGATTGCGGTAACCTGTAAAATGCTCCTACAACAAAAATAAATGTTCCAGAAACTCAGAATTTGATTTACACAGTGTTAGACAGTGTTGATTAAAATGCAATACAAATGAGTTTAATAAAGCTTCTCGGGATTAGTTGGTTTGCGGTATCCGATGAGAACATTGGCACATAGAATAAAATTGCATATCTGAAGATCTTTGAAGACACCTATGTTGGTTGCAAGACACACCCCATTACTTTTCAAATCCTTCAATTTTTTTATTAAATACCAGCTCCCGATGATAGTGATAAAAATGGTTAAGATGAGCAAAAAAATGCCAGAGAATATTCTCACAACTAATCAAGATTTTGAAAGCATAATAACATTTTCCAATGTAAACCAAAAGCAAATTTGTAAACAATAGTACACTTTAAGAGAGATATTGGGTAATTGAATCTAAAAGCAGAAAACGTGTAAAGATTACACACTTTCTAGTAGTTGATGCTTAAATGTCAATTTTTGAAAAATATACTTAGATTTTTTAATCTAGATTTTACATTATCCCCGCTTTGTGCATTTTTTATTGCCAGTGATGGAAAATGTAAAATCAGAGTTTCACTATAATTAAGTTCTTACCTTGTATTTTTTCTTTCAGTTGTTCTAAGATTGAAGGAAGGAGTTTAGCAACATAAGTTTCAGATACTAAACTGAATGATATCACTACAAAATCAATGCCTTTCACCTTGAAAACAAATAAATATATCAGCACTAATGAAATGATATACATTTATAATGACCAAATGATGATCATGTTATAAAATGAATATAAGAACCTTACAATTAAGCTGCTTCATAAATCACATAACTGACGATGTGGGCAAAAAAAAAGGCAAAAATTGTATCCGTATACTTATACAGTTTACGATTTTAAAATACAAAGAATCATTGAAATTTTTCAGTTTTTTTTTTATCCTTTGTCAGTTTTTACATTAGGTTAAATTTTTTCTAAGCTGTAACACCCCTATGAGAATTAAAGAGTTTCGTTCATTGAGTAAAATGAAAGAAAAAATGAAAAATTAAATGTATAAAGAGTCCATTGTTCTCAATTCATTTATTATTCATTTGTGGTCATAAAAGTTTTTGCCATTTTTCCAGGACTATGAAAATGCAAATACAAAAACAGTAGCAAGAACATGAATATATGTAATGCAACTAAAAAATCAGAATATAAAAAAAAATATGAAATTGCATGAATTTGTCAGCCAGACACTAACAAATTCAAGCACTCAAAACAAATTTATTGCTTCATGTGCTCAATTAATGCACAAATAACTTGTTCATGTGTCCAAAACAATCCTTTCAGATGTGATTTAAATTTATTGCTGTTTTAGATTTGTTTTATACAACATCAACTGTTACAAACTTAGTAAAAAATTAAGTCTCAAAAATGCAGTAGAGTCGCGAGTATTCGAGTTAACGTGGGCCACGATAAACTCGGATAACCCGAAAGCTAATGCGAAATCGGTTAAACCAAAGAGTATAAAAGGGGAAATAAAAAGAGTAGGTATAAATGTAATATATTTAACAAACACAAAATTTAATAGAGTACACCAATTCATATTATAATTAAAAAGCTTACATAAAAACACTTAAAGAGCATACTTTACGAGAAAGAAAGATTTTTTACTTAAAAAAGTTATTGTTTTTTGCTTTATATTACTTTGGCGCTTTTTTGCAGCAATGTTTTGCCCTTTTTTTAGTTATAACAGGAAGGCTGGTGTCACCTCTTTTTGTTGTTTTACATATTCAATAGCTTTTAGTCCATCTGTATGAGAGATTTTTATATGTTGATTTTCATAGTCACTGTCTTCATAGATTAATTTTCATTATTGACGATATTAACGCTCATTTCAACGGTAAACTCGTGTTGTCTGTCACTTTCTTTTCCTGAGAGTTTGGAAGATAAAATTCAGGCTTTTTTCGGTGGTAGTTTTGAAAATAAAGAAATAACTAGAACAAAAAAAATATTTGAAATATTTGATAGCTCGGTTAACGTGGAAGATCAGATAATCGGGACTCTACTGCAATGAGATTACTCGTGTTTAGAATGGAATACAATTATTTTAAGTAAGAATAGAATTCTGCTTTTTTAAACAATCTTTAGAAGAATGTGGAAAGTAATGTTTAAAAATCTTTTTATAATATTTTGTTGTACTAATAGTTGTATAGATTTTACTGCTATTTACTGATCCCTATATTTCTATTTGCATCATACAACAACAAAATCAAAGGTATTTTTCTCCATTCAAGTTAACACTTGTTGATAACCTCTCCAAACTTTCACTAGCCCTGTCCATTGATGCCACGTTTTTTTAATTAAAATTCTACAATCCATTGAATAATTTTGCAATATTTCTCAATTCCTCCGTTTTAAATTACTGAGCATACAATATTTGAAAGAAAAAATAGCAAATCAAGAAATTACTTAACAATACACTTTTAAAAGGAGACATTAATTTAATTTCTTTTTCAAATTAAATTATTTTAAAGCACAAAAAGCTCATTTGCAAATAATATTAAGCTGACACTAACTTTTGGTATATTACTTTCAAGCAATGAATAATAAATATCAAGCATCAAAATAGACATATTTAACTGCAAATGCCGTGGAGGCATGATTGTAAAAGTGCTGTAAATTCCTAGTGCGTTTGAATTTGTAGTGAATGAGTGAGCAAAAACTTTTTGTTTTATTTAGGGAGCACTTTTTTAAAAGGTACTGATACAGCCATATAAATAAAATAAAATATTAAGCATTATCTCTTTTTATAGATAAAAAAGATTGTGAGAATTTAACATAAATCGAGAACAAAAATTTTTGTGGTGAGAGAAATAAAACAGCTAAGCAAGAAAAAAAAAATTTAAAAAAATAAAATTCGCAACAGTGAATTAATGACTTATATACTTGTATTGAATTAAAAAGTTAACCATTACATTACTGATTAAGAAAATAATTAAAAGTATTTATATTTGATTTTTATAAAATTTGATAAAAACTAAATAAATATTTCAATTTGATGATAATAGAATTAAGAATGATAAAAAAACTGATGTTATGAAATCAAGAAATTTTAAAATCTAGGAAATATGTAATGCTAATAATGGTATCAAAAATGCATTCACAGTATGTATAGACACCAGTGCCTCTGCAAATTGAGTCCTCCGCCCGAAGAAATTATTTGTTTGAGCAAAGAACTCATCTATCTTTAAAATCTAACTGAGTGCAGAGGATGCAACATGTTAATGTTGACACTCACTGTGAACCCACCCTTAGTTATAATGAATACAGTTTTAAATATATTTGTAAGATATTAAATGAAATTTAGTTTCAAAATATCAAAGATGCTTGTGAAAACATTAACAGATATTTTGTTGTCTTAGATTTTAATGCAAAGATAGTTATAAGGAGATTAGTGAAGTACTAAACAGGTTTCAGTTAAATCTCTGGCAAATGGTTTCAAACTTTTTTAAAATTCTTGGGGTTCACTCAATATTATATTGATAGGAATTTTTATTTTTATTTCAAGTTTTTTAATTTTGTTCCTTTTATGTTCATTTTTACTAAAGTTTGCATTACTAAAGTTACCATGCATGTACTGATAAGCCACAAAATTAGAATTTACTTAATAAAAAAAAAAAACAATTTTTAAACTATCTTATAAAATAATTGCACTTCAATGCTGATCTTTAACAGGGTGCGTAGCCAAATTACTCAACAAAAAATAAGCACCTTTTAAGCACTTTTCAAGTACTCAAATAATATTTTTGAGCACTTAAAAAAAACACAATTAGGTAGGATTGGAAAGTTTTTGACAATTGACGATTTTATCTAGTTTTAACATGCCAAAATATATTTTAAAAAAACTTTCAGCATTGTTTTTGATAATTGTCAAAATTTTTTAATCATAAAAATCAAATGGAGTGTTCATACAATACGGACTGACGATAAGCAGAAATAGATTGGGGTTGAATTAATTGGGAAAACGTTGAATAGAACAATATGAACATCGTCTTTCTGCATAATTCGTAGCGAAAATCAACATGGTAAATGAAAAATCTCATTTTAGAAAAGGGAAATTAAACACTTTTTAAAAACACTCAATGAAAAAAAGCACCTTTAAGAACTTTTAAAAAATGAAAATCGAAAATAAACACCTTTAAGCACTTTTTAAAAACGCTACGCACCCTGTTTAACAATGAAAGCCAATATTATCAGAAATAGCAAAATATTTTTGCACTATAAAAAAAAGTTATTATTTAATTTCATTTAACAAGTTCTCAATAGCATTTAAATATAATATAGGTGATAAATATTCAAAAACAAGTAACGTAAAATTATCCACAGACAAATGTCATTTATATTATGATTATATACATGATGGTATATTATATACAGTATGCTTATGGTGTTGCAGCAACAAATTAACAGAACACAGAGTTTTAAACTTTTGTGAAATTATTTTGTTTGAAAAAGTTCAACAAAGAAAAAGTAATGAATTATTTAAAAACATATACTCTTTAACTATCACCAAAATCTAGAAAAAGTATTAAATTTCAAAACCAAGCTTAAGCAAAATTTTATACTTTTCACTTGTACTTTTTTGTAAACATAAAAAGCACTATCAAGTATGGTTAAATTACTAATGTTTTTAAAACAATGTTATTATAAGTATCTTACTTTATTTTAACAATTATTCTTAAACTTGTAAACCTAATTTACACTTGAAGCAATTTTTGTTTAATAAATAATGAAGCACAAGAAAAAGAATATCAGAACTTCTAAGAGGGACGCTGAACCATTTGTGGATAGCGGACCACAAAAACTAGAAAATACCATGCTGAAGTGAACTTAAGTAGCACCAAGTTATAAATAAAAAAGAGGGGTTATTAATGTGACACTATTAATGACAGTCTACAATTCCTCCGTAGTGATAATACAAAGATAATACTGGTACATGAGCACATTATGGTAGTAAAAATCTATCCCACCATGTTTTGCGGATTTTTCAAACTCTGATGGACTACTAAGATGCATTCAGAGAAAAAGAAACCCAAACAGATAGCTATTTTTAATGAAGGAAATCATACCAAAGTCATGGAAGGAGAATACTCTACACAACAAACTGACTTGACTGTTTAGACCATGCAACGCACACACAGCTTATTTTATTAGTCAAGTGCAAATAATAAGAATATATAAATAACAGTATTTAAGGCAAAAAAATAAAATCTAAATAAATATATGGGTGCAAGATTACTAAGCAATATTTTAGGACTCATTTATAGGAATATGAAAGAAAAAAACTATTAACTAGCTTTTGCTAATATTAAGAAAAACGTCTGTTGCATAAGTAACAATTAGAGAATAAGAATAATGTGATAATTTTTTTAAAAATATATATACGTATAATATTCAAGATAAGCATAGTAAAAAGGCATCATAGTCGATTTGAACATTCCTGATTTTCAAATGGGTCTTTGTAGCAATGTAAATGAGTCGAGGAAGACCGTTTTAAACAACTATAGTTTGGAAATAATATTTTTTGCAAAAGAAAAATAGATAAAAAGCAACTTAAATGGTATAAGTATGTGATAGATTGATTAAATGAGCAAATCATAACATTAAAATAATAATAAAGAAAACTTTTGCTATGCACTGAAATAGATTTAAGTCATAAATATCAATAATAATAATAAAAATATATACTAGAATTCTACTTATACTAACATATTTATTGATAATATTCAAAAAATAATAATAAGTTTAATGATGATAAATTAAAGCACAAAGAATATGACATAAATCAAAGTTCTTATTAAAAAGTTCTACAATAACAGATTATTTCAAAAAGTTAAAAAAAAAAATTTAGCACAAAATACAAACATTACATGAATAAAAAAATATTTAAAAAAAAACGCAAATAAATATATACCTGCACACTACTTTTACTAATACATTTATCAACAATATTCAGTAAAATCATAATAAATTTAACGATAATAAATTAAGGCACAAATACTGTAGAAATCGAAGCTCTCATTAAAAAGCTACAATAACAGTTTGATCTAACAATACTGAATTCCAATGAGTTGACAACAAAAAAAAATAATATTAACTTTTGCACAAAATACGAACAAATACCAATAAAATTGTCAATCAATAAATTCCTCAACAATATTTCTTTAACCAACGTTAAATCAGAGTTATCTTATCCACCTTTCGAGAAAAAAATTTCTTTTTTACAATGTTTGTATACAGTGCGTTAAAATTTAAAGATAAGATTTCACAATAAACTTCTACATAAACAGATCATGAGTAAGATTTTGCGAATTCGCGTAAATGTTGTTCAGTTGCAAAACAACTATTCTTGTTTATGCATCTGCCAGAAACCAATTTTATAATAATTAAGTGCTAATATTCTAGTTCAGAAAATAAATTCATTATCAACATAAGCTATATTATTTTTGAGCAAGAGGATTTAGCAATTTCTTACTTTTGAAGTAACTTTTATAAATCCATTTTATAACAAACAGACTTCTTTCACATTTCAAAATTTCCAACTTTCTATCAAAAAAATAAACATTACTAGGATTGGGCAATAAATTGATGTATCGGAAAATATCGATGTTATGCAATCATCACCAATCCGATGTTCGGATTGACAATTTTTCGAAGCATTTGGAAATTGCAATTTACTGAATTGTATACAATGTTTCCCGATGTATCGTTGACTACACGTGCGGTGTTGAGCATTGTTCCCGATAATACATCGGATGTTTCAAGTGCGCGGGAAGAGCACTTCTCCCAATCATGACATAGATGCCTGGACGCTCGCACAGAGATCTCATAGTTATGGAAGCGTTTTCTTTTAATTGTGAAAATCCTCTTGATTTTTCTTTTTTTTACAATCAATCCATCTGTTAATTATTTTTTAACCACAATTTCTCAAACATCCACGTCTTTAAACATTGAGAAATAATTATCATTGTTAGAAATTAAGAAAAAATGCAACATACTAATTGCGAATCGTTAATATTTTACTTTTATTTTAAGATTCGTTTTACTCTTGCATGCCTTCCTTTCCTTTTCTTTAATATATATTGATAGAAATGGACTTAATTTATGATAGAGAAAGGTGTAACTCGGATTGAGTTTATTTCAAGTACATAATTGTCTTAATCGATCAATCAATCAAAAAGAGCAAAAATTTGAATTTACGAAGTACCAAATGTAAAATATTAATGTACTGAAACATCGCGATGCATCAAAATATTGGGGTGTCAGCGTGAGGATACATTGCAATGCTAAAACATTACATTTCCTTTCTAAATGAAAAGTAGTTTCAACAAACAATGCTTAAGAGAGAGAGATATGCATCAAATTATAATTTTGTTGAATTTAATAATTTTATAGACTTTTTGCTTACAAATTTCTGATAAAAAAAGATCTAATACAAATTAAAATAAAAAAATTTCTACTAATGCTATAAAAAATTTTAATGCAGGTCTGTTACTTATAACAATTTAAGAATGTTTAGGTTGATTATGCTACAATCTAAATCCAAAGGTAAAATAAGTATTACATGACAATTTCATTGAATTCAAAAAGAAATTATATTTAACTATCAAAATTTGAGTCATGTGTTAAATTATAAAAATGATATATTGGACATAAATTTAAACTTTTCTATTAACTGTATAGGTTAGCTATTATTTGAAAATTTCATAGTTTACAGCTTTATATGCAACACAAAAATAAAAAGCAAAAACGAGATTAACATACCCTAAAACTTCCAAAGAAAGGTTGACAGGTAACTGTTAGTCCCATCAATTTCTCGGGAGGTATATATAGGACAGCAGAATCTTGTAACTGTAAACCGTGACTTGTATCATAAAGAAAACCATTCAAAAGAGGCTGGAAAATTTTAAAGAAAACAATAAATATTTTTTTCCAACTATGCAAGATGTATATAAGTCAAAACTAAAATGAAGTATTAAAAACAACAGATATAAAAACTTCTTAACAAAAAGATAGTTTGTCTTTTATATATATATATCTGCCAACATTGGAGAAATAAAATAATAGAGATTTTACTAGCGACATTTTTTGGGCTATGAGTAAAGTTCTGATACATCATGCATAATCATGCAAGTTAAAAGAAGAAATTCAAAATAATATAAATATAATATAAGCTTATATTTAGTGAAGTAAAAAATATGCTTACAAATCTTAATGTAAAGAAAATTCTTTTAAACCACTATTTATAATTACTTAAACTATAAATGCTCAACATACTGCAGTACTGGCAATAGCACCATCTGTCGAGGAATAAGAGATGCACTTTTGACTTTAGCAGATGTTTTATTATTATTATTTTTTTGAGAATATACAGGTAAACAGGAGTTAGATGCAACATACAGGAGTCTTCGTTAAAAAACAGGAGACTTGGCAGGTATGTATATATATATATTAACATAGTTAACTTTTTGAAAAATATTTTTCGCTATTGCATAAACAAATATTAAAGACCTGGTNACAGGAGTTAGATGCAACATACAGGAGTCTTCGTTAAAAAACAGGAGACTTTGCAGGTATGTATATATTAACATATTATATATTAACATATATATATTAACATAGTTAACTTTTTGAAAAATATTTTTCGCTATTGCATAAACAAATATTAAAGACCTGGTTTATAATGGGTAAAACTGGTTTTTACCAAGATATAATGAACAAAAATTAAATGTAGATTTACAATAGTGTCAAGCGGACATAAATACTTATTGGCAGCCATGTTTTTTTGTCATTTATTTAGAATTAAATTACAAATAAACACATTTAATTAATTTTATTACTGTTGTATTAATTACAAATTCCTCTATACTCTCTCAAATTTCTATACAGCCATATATTAATGCCCGAATGCTCTATTTAGGTAAACATTTTTGTAAATATATCCATTTATTTATCAGTATGTCAGATTTTGAAGTTTTTAGCAAAATATTAAATCTTCAAAATTGTAAGTCTAAAAAATGGGATGTTTGGTATTAACATTATTATTCACATCTTAAACAGCACTTCGCATGTAAGGTTTAAGGACAGATATTAAATTAACACTTTTTTAAAAAAAATAATTAAAAAAAATATGATTTATGCAAGTCTTGAAAAAAAGACACATTTTTTCCTTTTTTTATAAAATGTGCATGAAGTACATGAAATATTGATCACTATATGCTAACAACACATATCTAGGAGATCTATTTTGCTTTTGCTTTAACGAAGGCAGACCATTAAAAAAGAGAACTTATGCCTTATTTATGCCATCATTCCAATACAAAAGAAAACAAGATATTATGAAAATATTAAAAGTTAAATTACCAGTAGGGCGAATTCTCCAAAATCCACTTTTTTTCTTTAAAAAAAAATTTCATCCAATTAAAACTTTCACTTCTCTAACGAGTTTTTCTTCTTTTTTTTGAATTTTTTAAACAGAATCGTTAAAAAAAAATCAGCCCAATGTTATAATTTGAATTTAATGCAATTTTGCAAAAACTTTAAAGTCACTAAACAAAAAGACTAATCACTAAACAAAAAATTTCAATTTTAACAACATGAAAAATAAATAATAATTGTACTATTTAAAAATTTCATCAAGTCTATTTCCAAGTTCTTGGAAAAATAAGATCTTTAAATAAAATAAAATCATTGAAAGAAAATATAAAGAGAAAATTTGTTCCTGCAACTCGAAACTTTAATTTTTATTTCTATACAATTATGGTACGCCATATATACCTACATTTGCACATATCTGAATTTTAAATTAATGATTAAAACATGGTATAATAATTTACACATACATCATGATTATCATCCTAGGTATTAGACACTTTTAATTAGCTTTTTAAAGTTTAAATGTGTGCCATATCAGAAACATTTTTTGCCATCAAAAACCTAAACCTGGGACATAAATAAAAAAAAAATCCATGGCATAAATTTTTGCAATATTAGTTGTTAAAATAATCATACATAACATTCAATACTCCTTGTGTATGATCATTACACTGTTATAATATATGTGTAATACATTCAATATTATTACAGTGATTTTCATCTGTTATCAACTTTAATGAAATACAAAAAATATACTTTAACAATTCATTGCAAATTGGACAATGATAGATTGAATTGCTAATAAAGAAATAATGATTTATATGCAATCTTGAAAATAATCAAAATGCTTTCCATATTTCCAAGCCTTTTTTTTTCAAACCAAACATAACAGAAGAAAAAGATAATAACCACAATGATTTTCAGTGAAACATTAAAAATGCTTGTTAGTATTTATAAACTTTAATTCAAGCTAATTAAATCCAAAATATATAGGATTCTTTTTAACTCAAGACTTTGAAAATGCTGATAGTTCACAATGGGAAAATTTAAAACTATAAAACCTAAAATCGCAAAAAAAATTTCCCTTTTAATTTGCATAAAAGACGATTTTTAAATATATTAGGCAAATCATAGATGGTAGGCAATCAAAACTAGACATTCATTAATAAATATTAATTAAACAACAGAGTTTCTACTTGAATAATAAATATTATCTAATAAAAAGTTCATAAAAATACTATCCAAATCATCATTAACATTAAATTAATTTCTAAAATTAATAATTTTTACAGATATTAACATTAAACACTTCCTACTCTTCCAAACGAATCCAGAAGAAAATTATAAATGCAAAACATTGCCAACATTATGAATTAAATCTATTATAAGAAAAGGGAAAGTTTGTCTTTGTTTTTGCAAGACCAAAACAGTTTAATCTATCTGTTCAGGAGGGATATGTGAAAAATAATTCCTATAGGATCTACATTACACATTTAAAAAAATTAAACTGTTTTTTTTTTTTTTTTATCATTCAAAAAGATAACATCCTCGATGTTTGGTAGATTACAGCTCAATTTAATCAAAAACGAGTTTGAATTAGAATTTCTTGCAAGCTCTTTACTAATAATTTATTTTTAGTTATGTCAGGTAAGTAAAAGTAAGTTAGAGGTGGATTCAAAGTAACGTCACAAAAAAAATAAAATAGTTAATTCTGAGTACATTTTATAATAATCAGAAAATCTTAAAAATATTAACCACATATAATTGTACTCAAAATTATTTTATATATAAAATCGTCAACCAAACTATAAAGCATAAATTTTGTTATACTAAAAGGAATACATAACATATATAGGTTATACGAAAGGTTATACAAAAAGTATATAGTTTGGCAGTTATTGACCATACGTTGTTCTAACTAGGAAAACATAGTAAACATTTCCATCTACTCGGTCATAAAATGTTTTGATTTCAGTTTTTCAAAATTGAGAAACTTTTTTTCTTCCTCATTTAAAAAAAAAAAAAACTATGTAAGACAGATGTAGGGTAGTGACACAATCTTAAAAATTCATATGGTATATTTGGATTTTAGTGTAGCAAATTAATTACATATGCAAAAGACATTTTACATGATACGCATTAAAGTTACCTTATGTGCCAAAGGTGACAATAGCCTGACTAAATGTGACTAAAAGAAATTAGTTTAAAAAATATTCAGTCTTGGAAAAAAAATGGAAGATTTTAGGGTTAGGTGAGAAAATATGGATACTTAGTTTGTTTGAAAGTAAGGTTCAGAAATTTTTAAAATTATTAGTTCAATTTCAAAATGCAAAAGTCGGCATTACTGACAGCTAAGAGAATTACCAAAGAGTTTAAGATTTCAGTAATTTTCCTGCAGGTCTCAGATACCCTACTTTTAACTATTAAATAAAATATAGAATAGAAAAAAGAGAGAAAGAAACAGAAGCAAAGCTGCACTTGAAAAACATTTTTAATTTTGGCTAGTATCAAATTTTGAATAAAAATTCAAATTTTCTTTCTTAACTTTTTCCTTATGAAGATTCAAACAAGATAAATATTAAAGAAAAATATTCAAATATTTATGTTAAATTTAATTAAAAGAAGTTATTAAATAACTAGAATATTTTACATAAAGAGTAATACAGAATTCAAGTCAATGATAAAAGAAAACAAGCCAATCAAATCCACACTGAGTACAGTACAGAGTTGCAAACAGAATAAAAAAATTTAGATATTAAATTTCAAAACAAAGGTAACAATATAATACAAATAAAACTTTTTTCAACATTTTGCAATGTTAAAAAGTTTTCAAAATTTTATTATAAAATTAAAATATTAAAAGTTGTATACTTTTTTATGAAGATTTTCAACATTATTGCTTTGAGGAGGAACTAAACTATGCCATTTTCCACGATCACCTCTCCAACTTTGTACAGAATATAATTTCGGCTCATTCAACTCAGATGCAATCTAAAGATAGAATAACATTTTTGAAAGAAAAAAATAAACAACTTAAGGATACTAAATAAAGTTTTCACAAATGATGCAATATATATAAAGGAGTCAGGCTAATATGGTGACAGATGTCACCAAATTTCTATAAATGTCACTAAAATCATATGCATGAGTAAAAGAATAAAATGAAAGATGATGTAATAATTAATGAATAAAAGATGAATACATAAATAGATGAAATAATGAGTAAAGAAGGTGTTTAATAAATAATCCGAAGAAACTGAAGCGTCAAGATAGCTTCATTCAATTCAAAAACATACAAATTGGAAATAGATAGTCAGCATTTTTCAAGCTCTCAAAAATAAGCACCCATTTTCAAGTCTTGAAAATTGGCACTTGAAATATGCAGTACCATATATTTCCAATTTGTGTATTTTTAAGGAGAATGAAGTAATGAGAGTAGAACTTTATTTGCCAATAATTTAAAATTAATTCCTATTTTGTGACATGACTAAATTTGTTTCCCTAAATTTATTAAAATTTATTTTTTTCGTTTCAAAATTTTTCAAATGGAATTTAAAGGTGTTTGGTACAAGAAATTTTTCAATTTAAATGCCAAAATTTCAAATTTATACGTGTTGTGCTTTGCGCTTATGTACTAACAGTATATATTGTTCATCAATAAAACAATAGTTTTTGCTCCTGAAAATTAAATTTTTAGAAATTTTATATAATTAATTAATATATTTTGTTATTTTCTCTTTTTTCCTACTTATTTATTTGGTTGGTCTCATTATTTTAATCTGTATGCTGAATTTTTACTAATATTATTTTAGCTTTTTCACTTAATTTTAATAAATACTAATCTTTAAATCATTATGAGGTAATGGATCTATAATAAGGTGCTATAATTAATAATTTCTGATCTGTATTATATGCCATAACATGAATTATATAACAGTAAAATTCGCCAACCATATATATGTTACTGTGAATGACTGAAATCAAGACCATGTCTTCAGTGAATGTCAACAATCACAACAATATCCGAAATATTTGTTATATCCGATTTGATATTAAATTTTTCATTGATATTATTATCTTTATTGATTATTACTATATATCACATTGATATTATTATATTATATTACAATATTTTAATATCTCCTTAGGATAGATTAAAAAAAACATCAGTATTTGGAGTACTGGTTAAATGCATACTGAACAGTGGCACTTAACTTTAAAAGAACTTCAATGTAGGGTATACCGGGCAGTGACACTTATTTAGACTTAGTATATATTTCCGACATTTACCAAAGCGACAATGTGACTATCAACATTCATCGGTAGAAGTCAACAACCACCAGTTTCGATAATTCACAGTAACATATATCCACACATGCATATATGTATAGACAAAAATTGACTCCTCGTGCAGAGAAATCAAAAGAATTCTGTAGACAGAATAATAAAGGTAATCTTTTACATACATTTATAATTTACAAACAAATATTTTTAGAACATGTTTCAAAATAAAAAATACAACTGCAACATAATTAAATTCATAAAAAATACATTGTATTCATTATCCAGTGCTTGCAGTTTGGATTGATCCATACATTAAATGGATTAATAAAAAAAAAATTCTTTTTAACTATTTAAGCAAGGAGATTTAGTAATTCAGATTTAATGAAGTAAAACAATTAACACTAATGGTATTAAGAGAGCAATACTTCAAAATAACATGCAAATTGAAAAAAAAAAATTGGAGAATAGAGATTGAAAGTTAAGAACGTTAAAAAATCTAAGAATGTTTATAGAATACCACCAATTTTTTGTAACATTAGAGTTGTTTATAACATAGACTACATAACTTACCAAAAGCCTACAATAATCAATTCTAAATAGAGTAGTTCTTTTAAGACAATTTTTTCAAATACAGTAGGGAACCGATTATCCGGAACGATCGGGACCATCACTATTCCGGATAACTGTTTTTTCCAGTTTTCTGAATCGCTACAAAAAGCCGTTTTTTTATTGTTAAACCCAACTAAAAAAAAATTTTTTTTGGGAAATAATCTTAAAAAGAAGAAAAAACGATGAAGTAATACACTAATGATTATTTCCAAAATGATGGTAAGGTGAACATCTTTCAAAAAAGAAAGAAAAATTCTAAAATCTTATGAGGAAAAAAAAATTTTGTTTAAAAAATGGCGGGAAAATTTATCGAATTTCGTTCTGGTTTTTTGGTTTTCCGGTTTTCTGATTTCCGGATAACGGGTTCTGTACTGCAATTTAAAAGTTAGTTTTGTTAAACTAACATCGTGCTACATCATTAACTGGTTATAAGACACAACAGAAATTTCACTACTAAAACATAAAGGGCATTATATGAAAAGTTAGAAGTAATTTAAGATAAATCAGATTTTTTAATTGTTTATGTTAGAGTATGTATTGTGAAAAACACAAATACTTCCATATAATCCATAAAATGTTTCAGAGTATTGTGCTGTTATTTATCTACTAATAGAAATTCTGGAACTGACATGGAAACAATAACTTAGAAATTGTTATCTATAAAAAATATCTCCTTAGAAAAAGTGTAGCTTATTATATTGCTTCAAGCTTTTGATATGAGGCTAAAAAGTAATTTAGAATTGAATTTACACAATTAAATTCTATAAGAGCAGCACAGTTAATTAAAATTTAAATTTTTTTTAAAAGAATGCAATTATAAAAATTAAAATTTTTTACCAAAGATAAAGCTTCTCGAGATGCAACTTCTTGAACAGCCAACAGATTGATCCTGATAAAAAGATTTCATAACAGTAATTAGAAATATTTATTAACGTTAATTTTACTTAAAATGCATACAAAAACTATGTGCACATAAATAGCATATATATAAATCGCTATAAAGAAAATGAAAATTTTTCTTACATAAATTATATTCAAATATAATTTAACTGTAAGTTAAGAGAATAAGCTTTTTACTTACTCTTGAAGATAAAGTTGAAACAAAAATCAAAATTACGCAATATGATTTGACAATTACACACTGAGTGCTCTAACATTTTGCAATAATATATTTAGATACTTTTCAAAACACCAACAGATAGATTAACTCTGGGATCACCATACTTAAATATACTAAACATAAAAAAAAAAGAAATTGCTATAAAAGAAAATTAAAAATTTTCCTCTAAAAATTATAGTTAAATTTTATTAAAATATAAAGCTAAAGAGGAAAAGATTTTAATTAACTCTTAAAGATAAAGCTGAAACAAAGAACCATATTACAGAGCATGATTTGACAGTTATGCGATGCGTATTGGAATGATTTGCAATAAAATGTTTGGACACGTTTAAAAACACTAACAGGTAAGTGACCTGTGGGATCAATGTGTAATAGTATAACAATAAGTACAAATGCATGCTAAATATGTTTATCATCTTATATTGAGAAACAAACAATACTTGGAACACTCCTATATTTTATTGGTAATTGGAATATTTTATAGATTTAATTAGAATAAAGTACTAGTAACATTCACATATATTAGTTTAGCAGCTGTTATTTGGTTGAGATAAATATTTCAAATTAAGCTTTGTAATTCATTTAATGATAAATCAATAGAACAATGAAGCATTCACATTATGTATAAAAATTATTTTCTTAATAATAAAACTCTATTTGAATATATATTATTCTATAAGTAGGTAAAAAATAGTTTAAAAATACTTTTACTTCATTATTTAATAATTTTGAAAATGAAGGATTATAGTTTCACTATTCATATTTCAAATTAAAAAAAGAACAAATATTCATTAATAGGATAATTTAAAAACATAACAGCTGAATCTTAAATTGAACAAATAATTATTTTCATGGACTATAAGGATATGTGACTATATAATGGAAAAAATTGATTGTTAAATATTTAGAATACTTAAATTTTTCTTTTTGAATTCAACTACAGGAATTTGTAATGTAAGAAACTTAAAAGCTTAAAATACAGATATTATTTAGTGAAAGTAAAAAAAAAAAAGCTGATTACTCTTTTTAATTACTAGTTCTAAAAGAAATTAACAAAAATTTAATCTAGTAATATGATTTTCTCTTCTTTAGTGAAAAAGAACTTCATTTTTTATATTATTTCTGATTACAAATAAGAAGTAAAAGAAAAGTATTGCAAGAAATTTGTTAAAAAAACTAAAATATAAGAAGATAAAAAGAAAGTGGCCTATCTATGCGTAATTCCTATTATTTTGTGAGGAAAGAAATTGTCGTTGATTATGATTGTCTTGTGCAATCACCACCCCCAAGCAAACCTTATGCATGTTTTTGTTTTCTTTCTTTTTTTTAAATTTTCACTTAAAATAAAGTTGGTGCCTTGGCCATTACAGTTGACAAGGCAGATCATGATACAGAAATATCCCCCAATCACAATCAAAAATAATTTAGTTTCTAGAATACTTTCACAAGTAAATGCAACCATTTCAAATCATGACGAAATCCTAGAATAGAGCAAATAAGTAATTTCTCTAAAAATAAAAGAGAAACGAGAAAAGAATTACACATATTAATATTCTTGATGAATATCATTATTACATTAAAAACAACACATTCTTAATTTAATAAAAAAAATTGCACTACAATTTAATTTTACAAACTTTACACAGTTTTTTTTGTGTATAAAACATGACAACTAATAAAAGATATAAAACTCTAGAAAACAAGCAATAACAATCATTTCGAGCTTTCTCTTTTTCAAGATTTTTTTATTTTGCCTGATTGTTGCATAACTGGTAAATCATTTAGGCACATGCACAGATACAGTTATTTTTCAAAATGAAATAAAAACTTCAACATCAAAAGAGTGAAAAATAGCAAGCAAAATAAAAAATAAAGGAACAAGCGAAAAACAATCTTACCCATTTTCTAAGATAGACCGACAAATAACCTCTTGAACACCAGGATTTCTGGCTTTTTGAACAGCAAAATCCTGTAAATTCCAAGAACCCAACCTTAAAACAGGTCTATCTAAATAACTAGAATTCAAGGCATCACTGCAGGGTGGCCTTGTGACGAGAGAAGAGACTAGTTCATAAAAGTCCTTTGTACTAGGATCACAGGAACGTGACTTCTCCAACCCACTAGGGGCTGAATTTGTTCTACGATGTCCTATAAGACGTCTACCATAGACACAATTCTGAGGAATTTTGTTATGATTAGAAGATGAGCTATTTACAGAAGAATCTACAGTGAGATAGATTTTTACAACAGATAACCTATCAGGAGGAAGACCTTTTACTTTTGAAAGATCATCTACAGATTTAAAAGGTCCTTTACGTTCCCGATAGTGAACTATGTTTGCAGCCATCTCCTGAGTCATACGGCACACGCTCATCAATTGAAAGACATTGGCTGTATTTACATTCACGATTTTTGATGGGGTGGCACGAACTGAATTGTCAATAACTGATAAGGACTCCAAAGATTGAGTTAACGATGAATTATAGCTTCCATTACCTCGTCTTCTGTTGACACAGATCTCAGTTCTAAATTGTTCTAATTTAGTAGCGCCTACACCCGACACTAAAGCTAAGTCCTCCACTTTTTTGAAACCGCCTATCCTTTGGCGATATTCAATTATATTTTCAGCGGTAACCCGATTAATACCCGGTAGAGTCATTAGCTGTTCTTCTGTGGCACTATTAATGTTTAGAAGATCCCACCTTAAATCAGAATCCAAAACATGGAATGTTGCACTTAGGTTACCATTCTTCGAACGGTAAAACCTCTTAGTAGATCCTTCACGCATGAGGGTTAATTTTTTCTCAGGCACACTAACACACTGTCCCATGATCACGTCCCACAAACCAAGTTATGTGGTAGAAAACAGTGGATGCATTGTACACCCTAAATTAGAGAGGAAAAAATTATATTAGTAACTAACATATGAATCAGATGTAAAATTAAATGTCTATATAATTTCAATAAGTCTACTACAGGGCAGGAAATTGTATTTCTAGAAACATTAGCTGAACTAAAATTTTTGCTTGTTGCACTATTCTACTTTCACGAAAATGTTTTTAAATGCTATCAAATGTAAATTGAAGAACTTTTTGTTGACTAGAACCATAAATGAATATAGAAGCATAAAAATCGAAACATATTAAATACAATGATAATAAAGAATCAAAAAATAAGGATTCAAGGTTTCCTGAAACAATGGTTTCATAAGTGAAGGCAAGTGAATAAGCATTTTTTGTTCTAAATAGAAGAAAATGCTGTTGCTTGATTTTAAAACATTGCCTTGTGCTTCTGGATTAAAGCAGGATAATCCAAGCGTATATATTTTAATTTAAAATTCAACATTTCAGAAGATGAAATTTACTCGGTAGATTTAAATATTTCACTGATAGTGGAATTCTAATTGAAAATTTATTGCCCTTGTTTACCAAATAATGAAAAATCACTAAGGTTCACGCCAGTAGGGTGACAACAGTTGCTAAATGTTTGGAATCATGCCTAGGTGTCAAATTTGCCACTTTGAAATACATTTGGAATTTACAAAATAGAAACGAAAAATAAATTTTCTTTCCATCGCATAAAAAAAAAAATATTGCATTACTTTAACATGTGGCATGGAATTTCAAATGCGTGAAATTTAAAACAATAACAGAGAATTTTTTTAATTTAAATGGTAAAATTTCAAATTTACATGTGCTGTGCTTTGGATTCATGTACTTACATTATAATTGTTCATCAATAAAATAAAATATTTTGCTCTTTTAGAATTGACTTTATTTAAAGTTTTACAATTTTTAGACAATTAATTTTTTAATAAACTATTTTGTCAGTTCTTAGTATAACTGTTTTCCTCATTTATTTGGTTTCAGCATTCTAATCTCTATGTGGAATCTATTTATTAGCATTATTATTATTTTAGCCTTTTTACACTTAATTTTAATAAATATTAACCTTCAATTAACCTAATAGTGTTATATATGGCAATTAATAACTTTTGATGTGTATCATAACATGAATTATGGAATTGTAAATTGTCAATTTTTTCTCCAGTTTGACTACCATAAAGAGTTTTTGGACCACTTATGAATACCTAAGTGGTCCTAATAGACCACTAAATTTTCATTGATGGTATGAACCCTAAAACTCACTAAGCAGGTAAAACTAATTGAAATTTTATCTTTAAGGTTCAATGATAAAGGAAACACTGCACAACGTTTCTAAAGAGAGCATGTAAAATAAACTTGAACTTTTGTGTAAAATTGTGCATAAAATCAAAATTTTATGGAACAAAACTTTAATTAACAGAGTTTAATTGGAACAGAAAATATGTAAAATAATGATATTGTGAAAATTTAAAAGGTTAACTTTTCACATTAACCAGACTTTGATCTGTTTAAGTCATGCAGTCAAAAGTGACCAAATGAATTTTTTTATTTTTTTAACCATTTAAATAAATTTTTTTTTTTGGAAATATTAGAAGTGCATCATTAATTAAAGTAAAATACAACCTCGAAATTTAAAAGCTTTGGACTCTTAGACAGAATCAACCGAAATAATGAAAACACACAATGAAGTTGCACATTCAGTTTAAAATCTTCCCCTCTTGCTCTTTTTAATCTTAGATTTGTAACTTGAAATCCAGTAAATTAACTACTTTCCTTTTATCAATACAACTTAACTCCAATTTATCAGCTTGACATTGTAAGCATAAAAAAGATTTGTTTACTTAAAGGATCAAATAATTTACAATTGAGGAGAAAAAAAATTACAATAATCTTTCTTTGTGATATTCTAGAAGTACGTTTTGAAAATAGTAGTTTAGGATTTTGTTAAAAAACTTCAAACCAAAATAATAGGTAGAGCAGTACATAGCTCTAGGTACAATACTAACAATAAAACTGTTAACAATCTTCCAAAATCACAAATAAAATAAATAATAGAATTAGAAAAATATTTAAAATTAAATACAAAAAATTCAAAGAAAATTATGTTAATGTAAAATACGAAATTATATTAAAATCGCTACTAATATTTATCAATAGTAAGAAATGTTCTTACATTAAATTGATACAAAATAATTTTACGTATCACAGAAAAATAGAGCAATTAGAAGAGTACATATGGAATAATCCCAAATGATATTATAAGAAATAGGTTATGTTAATTTAAAAAAATTAAACAAGGGGGAGGGAACTACTACTAAGAAGTAAAGATAAAGCATAACAGCAAAATTAATGTAAAAAATTTAAAAAGTTTCGAATCTAAAAATCATGCTCAAAATAAATTTTATAATAATAAATTATTTTCAGACAAATCAATTTCGATTGAAAAAAACTACATTTAAAAAAGAAAACAATTGAATTTCAGTAAATACAGACTAGCGAAGCAACAGAAAACACCAATAAACATAAATATAAGGAAAACTTATAAACCTTAAGCAACATAAACTGACCTATATTAATAAATAAAAAGTTAATCTTATTCCATTTTTTAATTATTTTTAGTTTTAAAAAGGGTGCTAATAAATACGCACAGGTAAAAGAAAAAGCAATTTATTAAATGAACTTTTCCACGATTTCTAATTGCCAACTTGTTAAGACAATCGTCAAAGAAAAACGATATTAAATAATAAGAACAATATACAAATCAAATGATACAGATTCAGATATACATAAAAGTTGACATTTGCCGAAAATAATAGATCCAATTTTCTACCTAGGTATGATCCACAAATTAACGTTTATACTTAAAAACTAACGCGATTCAAACATAAGATGTGTCTTGGCTGTAAACTACACTACAACACAAAGAAGTTTGTAATGAAACTAAATACACACAGCAAATAGTTTTATTAGTAAACAATCACACTTGAGGATAGCAATAATAAATCAGTGTTTTTTACCTGATTGTACTAGAGCACCGTAACCTAGAAAGGAAGCATTGACTAGATCCATTTCACAAATTTCTAACAAAAGCACTGGCTAGTAATCATTAAAGGCGAAAGCAAGGCACAAACGGTAGAAAAATAAATATAATTAAATACATCCGAAAAGCAACAATGGAAGCGCTTTTTCTAGATTCTGACACTTGCACATAGCATTACCACCTCAGTTTCTTTAGTTGTCATATATCACTATCTGCCTCGCTCCTCTCTTTAGGATGAAAAAGTTAAAACAAGAAAACTAAATCAAGTCCAACCCTTCCCATGACCTCTTAGTTTTAACAGCGCCATCTGTTGGAAGTGATAATTAGTTTGTAGAATTCTCTTGTGCAGCGGTAGAATTCTATTTTGCAGCTGAAAATTAAACTACGAAGGAAAAGCGATGATTTGATAAGTATGAGGAAAAATGGGTTATGTTATTAACGCATCATTTTCGGAAGCTGGTGAAAATGAAATAATTATTTTTTAAAATTATTTTTGTGGTCTTAATTTAAATGAGGGTAGCAAAGCTCTTTTCATTTTTGCTTATTTTTTTGGTAAATATAAATTATCTCAAATATAAATGATACAGAAGATTCGATTGTAAACGATAATTATACTTACTTATTAACGTTAAATTTTCAAATTTAAGATTGAAAAATTTAGATATGTTTTAGTCATTTGTTTATAAAATTTGATTTTCCAAGTAGCTTTAAAATGACTTAAATTTTTCATTGTTCAATAAATTAGAAGAAAACAGAAATAAATGGACCAAAAAGTAAGTATGAGACAAATTTAATAAAATTACTAAATTTAGTGTAACTGCTCAGAAAATGTCAAGTATTGTGATTTCCTTTAACAAATATCTAAACTGCTTGCAATAGGTTATCTCATTTTCTCTCTATTATTTTTTGTAACAAATGCAATTGCATCATATTTAAAGATCTAATACTTATAACTGTCAACTTGTACGATAGTCGAAAAAAAATTTACCAAGTGGTGGTAAAAAAACATCAATCAAGTTTGGAGGAATTTTCCGAAGATAAAACTTTAAGGACATCAATCAGCTTTAGTCACCAAGAAAAGTATTTTATATACCTATTTTTTTAAATTATTAATTCTTCGTGGTAGTTTAAAATTTTTTTGAACTTTAATCTTAAGATTTAAATACACTAAAACGCTAATATTGCTACCACTTGGAAAATAATTTCTTAATGGCAGTACAAATTAGCAGCTATGATTACGCATCGAGACGAATGTGGCAATAAAAATAAAATATTTAGAAAAATTTATTATTTAGAAAATAAATTATCAAAGAAAATACTTTTTTTTCTCCAATTTTTCGAAAGAAATTTAAAATTAAACTCAAATTAATTTCAATATAAACTCAGTTAAAAATTGAAGAAAAAAAAACAGTTTAAATCAAAATTAAGTTTGAATAAAAATTCTTCCGAAAACCGTAGCAATTCTTGACCGGTTATTTTGAAAATATTAAAGCACAAATAATTATTAAAAATTGAAAAAAAAAATTTTTTTAAGTCTTTTTAACTACGAATACATTTTAATTAAAAATTCAATTTTTATTTAAAAATGTGTAATTAAATGAAAGTTTCAGTGGTACACATAAGCAGGGGAGGGAGAATGGTGGGTATATGTCTCCCTCAATAAACAGAAGTCTCTAAAAGTCCCCATCAATATTTCAGAAAAATAACGGAAATTTTAGCGAATTATCATCGGTTTAAATTTCTTGGAAGTTCCTTAATTTCTTAGATACAAAAAAGAGATAAAAATAATTAACTTTTTTGCAGATATTTAGCACATTAAAATTTTTTTTTTCTTATATGTTAAACCAAGAAAACTATTGTGACTGTGTAATATAATTTCGCGCCTTTGAAAAATTGGGCCCCTATTACGCAGATAATTGCACAGTTAATTTGTTTTAAAATAATGCAACTAATCTAATTGTTCGTCATAAAATTAAATAATTTCTTTTAGGATTAAATTATCCCTTATACTAAAATAGAAATTAAATTTTTAATTCATCAACATTTTCTGATTCAATTTCTCTCGCATAGTATTCTAATGCATAACTCTTATCCAATTTTCTATAGGGTTGAATTTCTCCACCAATCTATAGAAACTAATAAAATCTAAAATTTGGAAAATTAAAAAATATAGAACACTTTGCCAAACAAATTCATTTTCATCCCGATGAAAAGAAAATCAAGGAAGAAAACTGAAAAATAAATCATAAATCTAATTTAACTGGATGCAACGAAGGAGTAAGATTCCTGAGAATGCTCTATTTGCTTCAAATGGCCTATTGAGTATTGGAAATCTGTCATAAGTAGGTCACTTTCGAATAATTGACTGATAAGTAATATAGTTTCACTGAAAGTGATTCTTCCTTCAAGGATAGTAATTTATTCTTCAAAAAATATCTCCATGAAGCATCTTGACACGGTGTGAATATTAATTAGTACTCCTGTAGCTATCAAATGGCAAGAGGGTAATAACCTTGAAATGCCATAGTTTATGAGAGTGCTCAGACAATAGAAGTTGTCAGCATTTAATATTTTTTCATTAATTAATTCAAGTCATTTTGAGAAGGGACGGTATTTTATTTCTTAGATTAATTATTCGCTAGGGATTGTTATCCAAGTGTACGAATTAAGAGAAGTCCATAAACCGTATTGGTAGCCGTTTTAAATTTTTTTCCGAGTGCAAAATCCTAAATGTTCAACCTTCTTTTGGCGGAACCCTGATGTAAAAAAGATTAGTTCATTAGCAATTATAAACATATTAACCAAAGAACTCCTAATCGTTTAGGAAAACATTTAATGTAAGGAATTAAATAACTATTTTCATCGTTTCATCAACGATAGTCTTAAAATCAGGTAACTGTAGAATTCACATGTATGGAGAGGCATCTATAGACCAGTATATTAACCTAGTTAAAAATTTCTTTTTTGTGTATGCCTATGCTAAAAATGAATAATTTATCTATATTGTGGTTTAGGTTAAAATAAAAACGAAAAAGAATCGTCATTAGAGAAACACATTTCTTAATTGTCGAATTCGGTTTGTTTCCAGAAATTGAAAATTTGACGGTAAAAATACAAATTCCAGTTATTATTAGTTTTTCAAAAAAAAATTTATCCTTTTCACAGACATTTTGTTTAATAACCAAAGTTTTAAATAAATAATGAATAGATATAAATATAAGTTATTAAAATTTTAGTCTATAACAGCTTTAATACATTCTTTTTTTTAAAAGTTGCCAGCATGCAATATGTTAAGCTCAACCCAATGCTTGATCCAAAAGTTCCCTTTTCTTTTGAGTTGAAATCAAAATTACAAGTTTATGGATTTGTGCATTGAAATCCGCAAACTCAAAAATGGGTGAGCCTTAAAAAAGGGTTAATTTATAACTACCAAAGCTAGTTATAAATTAAAGTAAATTACCATGACACTTGAATCGCTTAAGTGATAATATTTAAATGTAAAGCCAATAATAAACTTAAATATACTGTTACCTTCAAACATAAAATTTTCAACACTTTTTACATTTTGACAGGATACTGCGTTTACTATAGGTATCAATGCCAAAAAATTTATCTAATTCGAATCAATTACGATTACAATTTACAACGATTCTTATTCACTAAACCAGAGATGCCAACTTACTCCGGACAGCACATATGTATTTTAAAGTGGTAGTTAATTAATTGGGATTCTTAGTTTAATGAATTCAATTTAGTAGATTTTTATCCACCACTATTTCTAAATAATTCATAGGATTATATTTTTCACAACTTTATCGTAATTACATACCCTCCAACTGCTACGGAATTTCCGTAGTTTATTAATTAATTTTAGCGTAACTTGTCCACTATTACTTATAAAAGTGCAGGCCATATGGCTAGCTTCTTAAGTTCTGATAAAAGGTTTATGAGAGATCCATTTGCTTTAAAAATTTTTACTTTGGTTCGCTACCACTAGAAAGAATTATTTTCAAAATCCTCATAAGTTGGAGGGTATGTAATTATGTCGTGCTATACCTTTTAAATAGCAAGCAAATATAGTTAAATAATTGTCAAATTTACTTGGTAGTTAATTACCGTTTTTTTAATTATTTTGGCGTATCCGGAGCAGTTGGCATCTCTGCTAAACTTTTATCATGAAATGATTTTTTTGGAATATTATTTTCATTTATTTGATCACTTTAAAAAGAGTGAATACAAGCATGGGTGAAAGCCCTTATATAGCAAGACGGAAAAGAGAAAAACCTGGTACATAAAACATTTCATTCCAGCATTTTTTTCGAAAAAAATGAAATATCTGTAACTATCAAGAGTTCTTTTATAATTCTGGCATATATATAAAACTGCTTCTTTTCCAAGATAAAGTAGATATTGTTGAAAAATTAAAAAAAAATAATAAGTAAACTCCTCCCCAAATCTAGCTATAACTGAAATGGTTTTACTACCAGCCTTTCCTCTTTTCCGTCTCGCTTTCACCCCTGAATACAAGAAAAACCAAATAAATGTTTTAAAGTTATATACCTGCCAACTTGTACGGTCGGTCTAAAAGATTTCACAAAGTGGTTGCAAAGTAACAATTTAAGTTGAAAATATTTTCTAACAATTAAACTACTTAAGAGCTAACATATAGATCATATCAAAATATTTTTTAACTATTGATTTGTCGTGGTAGATTAAGAAGTTTTTTAAAACTTTAAATTGAATATTCAATGCGTCAAAACGTAATAATGTTGCTACCACTGAGAAACTTTTTTCTCAATGGCCGTACATATAGGCAGCTAAAATATTATTACTAAGATTATTATTAGCTTTAAAAATTAATTTCGACTGATCTCTATTTCGTACATGAGAAGCAAGTTAAGGTCATTACGTGAATAATTATGATAAATTGAGACAGCCGATTACTCCTTTCTTTGTGAAAGAAATAATGTAAAAAAAAAGAGTGACAGACGGGTGACTAATAAGAAAACTAATTTTCATATCACGAGAAGGCAAAGAAACAGGCAGCCAATTTATCTTGGCAAATATGAATCGGAAAGGAAATTCTCAGATTTCCGTTTGCCTGAGAAGAAAAAAAAATGTCTACTGGTGTTTCGGTTCTTGTATTATGTAACAGTTTTCAAACTTAATATTAGCGTTATGCTAATTCAACAGTTTAACAAAATAAAGTTTCTTTTATTTTAACTGAAGAGGGCACTAAAAAGTTTTTAAAAAATAAAAAAAAATTATTTTTATAGATTTCAGTTTCTCAACTTAATTATTCATTCGTAACTATAATTATATTATAACAGTATTAATGAATGATACATGCTAAGACACTGCAAGCTCTTATCTATGGCAGTTACAATTTAATACTTATATAATTAATGTGATAAAGAGTTTTTATCACTTTGTGCATTGTTGGATAGCTTACTATCTACGAAATTAATTGGTTGGAAAAAAATGTTAAAAATTAATAAATATTTTTCTAATAATAAAGTG